CGGGGAGGGAGAGAGAGAGTAGTGGGCAGTTATGATAAAGTGAATATTTAAAAAGATTTGATTTTGTTAAACGATATTTACTAAAAATGGTTCAGCCATTAATTATGTTGGAATTTTGCTGGAAGTTTTGTATTATTTGGTGGATGGAAAATTAAGCCAAAATTTAAATCATTTAAATACATGAATTATTGGAAAAGTGCGTAAAATATTATGAAATATTTTAGAAATTATTTGGCTGAAAAGGTATCTTTCTATATGAAAGATTATGACTTTTGGCATTATCATTTTTCAAGAGACGTGTCTTTTTAAATATAGAGTCTAATTTCAATGGTTATGCCTCTTCCATAGGTTGTCTTTTGAGACAAACCTTTTCAACATCTATATATTAACCCCATATGTTTGGATTTATTTATTTAGAAATTTCATTTCATTTCATATTTTACATCCATTTGTTTAGTATATGATGAAAGTGAAGTATTATATATAGCACATGGTTGCAATTGTTAATCAATATATGGGGCTGTCAATACGTGTCTTTCCATAAATTAGTCAATGACCATGAAGTTGGTTTATTTTGAAAAAGTACGTTTTAAAGGCATTTATTAAATGATGACTCTTCATTTTCTAAATGTATTTTCAAATCCAATTTCGTAATCTATCATCAACTTGATTATCCTATCAAATAATATGACATGTATATTTATTTAAATAGGATCTATATATGTTGGTCATTGGTACAACTCCAATGTTACTGAAATAGATGTCAACTAATTGTGAAAGTATATAAATTTTTATGACTATTCTTTTATTTGAATATGAAATATGGCATGGTAAATTAATTGGTTAAATTTTTATATCTTGTTGAAATTATACTAACTTTGATTAATGTTGATAGCCTCATTTAATCTTATGGAATTAAGTGAGATGACTTTTATGCTAGTTATATTTGCATAAAGTATGACAAATTGTGATTTGTTCTAGTGAAAATTGTTGCGAAAATATTAAGACATGAAAATACTTTGCAGAGCACAAACTGTGCCTAAATTTGGTAATGGTGCTGAACTTCATTTAAATCTGAAAAAGTTTGAATGTGATGATTTAGTTAAATTTCTGACGTCAATAAAATTAAATGAGATGATTTGTGCAAAATTATATTTGCATAAGAATATGATAAAATGTAATTCGTCCTAACTTGATTACTTGGAATTGGTGAAAAATTATGTAGAATATTATGAAATATTTTAGGATCAATTTAGATGAAAAGGTGCGTCCTTTCATATGAAAAATCATGACTTTTAATATAATTATTTTCCAATGGGTATATCTTTTCTTAGAGATTATTTCAAGAGGTGTGAGAACACAACTTTTGAACCTATGGTTGGTCGTTCGTTTAAGTTTGAATATGGTGAATATGTACCTCATTATTTGACATGAAATGAGACTATCATGTGAAATGTCACAATGTGATAAGAGAAGTTGCAATACTTGTGAATCAAGATGCTTAGCACTCTTCACTGTTGAAATTGACTTTAATCGTGAAACCAATTAAAATTGGTTTATGCTTGGAAAGTATTGTTGGTCTATATGATGGCCCTGATTTAATTTGAATGATCAAATTAAAATAATTGGATTGAAGTACGTTATATACAACTTTAATTGAAATAAACTGTGAGTCAACGACCACTATTTTGAAAGTACTTAGACTTTCACGAAGCACTCGATACGGATATTATCTAAGAGATAAATAAATAGAATTATAAAAGAGTTGTTGAATTCTAAGTTCAAGTATAACCCAAGAATGTAGGGGGTTAAATGTAATGCTTGTAAACTTGAAATTGAAAGTTCAAAACTTGTTGATGCAACATTACTAAATTGCATATGTATTCCTAATTAAGGAATTATGGGGGTAACTCAATTTAACAGTTACGTTTGCTTCTATCTTATAATCAAGAACGATATCTATGAAGGTGGAAAGATAGAAAATCCTCATACTAATTATAAGGATAATATATACTAAGTCTAAAGTTGATGAAATGGGTTGTAAAGCCGATTATGGCGTTTGTTTAGACGTGCAAGAATAATTGGAATATATGGAGAATATTCATAAAGTTCGAATGCATGGTAATGTTTCAATGATGATATTGAATACCCATGATTCTGAAATCCACTAGTAAAAGTGATTGACCATTGTAGCGTTTGATAGAAGTCTTCCAACCATGTTTGAAAATTGATAAAGCTTTAGATAAAACAAATGAGGCATATAGCTTTATGAGAGGATTTCTTGGTGGCGACAATTTGTATCTCTTAAATGAATCTATCATTGGCTAGTAATACGTGATAAGCTACTAAATCACATGTAATGGTAGGTCTAGACGTATAAGTCATAAACATAATACCATTAAGCAGATGATCTCAATAGTGTAAACTCGTGATACCTTTAAGAGATTTACCGAGAGATTAAATATACTGCATATCTAAAGGAATGTGATTGAAGCCTACTACGTTAGAGTCTTTGTAATGGTAACCCTACCTTGTTGACTGGAGATCTCAAGATTTTGGTTCAAAAGGACAACTAAATTATGAGGATTCCATAAAGCATTAAGGGAAATAATTTCATAACTCATTTCTATGACTTTAAAATGCTTTTTTCAAAGTTGCAAGATTTTAAGATAATCTTTTAATAATTCCTATGTCTTGATTAAGTCGAGTGGAGTATGGCAAAATACTCTTAATAGAAGGTCACCTATGTGAGTGTGAAGTGGGGTCGCTTCAATGAGAATTATTCAAGGCTTAAATTCTCTAAACACTCGCAGAACCAAGAAGGGTTCAGGGCCAAAATGAACCAAGTCATGAGAACCATGAACGGTTTAGGGAAGATATTATGTAAGTATCATTGTCTTGGCTTACACTGAAGGCTACAATGGTTCAAGACATCACGTTCACCAATTAGTCGAGTAAATCCGATGGTATTTCCCTAAGGGAGGTTCAAGGCTAGAAGCTACCATCTCTGATGCAGTGTTTTTCCGCTCTCTCTCTCTCTCTACTAGTGTCTGTATAGATATTTGTATTAATTTTCATTCATGTGAGGGATTGTTGAAATTTTGTATTATTTGGTGAATGAAAAATTAAGCCAAAATTTAAATCACTTAAATACGTGAATTTTTGGAAATTTGCGTAGAATATTATGGAATATTTTAGAAATTATTTGGTTGAAAATTTGTCTTTCTATATGAAAGATTATGACTTTTGGAATTATCATTTTCCAAAAGACTTGTTTCTTTAAATATAGAGACTAATTCCAATGGTCGTGTCTCTTCCATAAGTTGTGTCTTTTGAGACAAACCTTTTCAATATCTATATATTGACCCCATATGTTTGGATTTATTTATTCAGAAATTTCATTCCATTCCATATTTTACACTTTACTATGCATAAAACACTTTAAAGAACTGATTATCTTTTGCATCAAAACCATTGTTATGGTAGAGAGGGAATTCCGTTCGAGTTCGTTCGTCGAAACTATTTGGAATGCTCTTATGGCTTGACGTGGTCGTCGTATCTTGGAAGATGATTGTCGAAAAACCGTTAGCACCGATGCAGTGCAAATTCATCTTAAGGAAAGAGTTATACTCGCCTTGACCAATCGCATCACTTGCATCTAATTTTTTTTTTCTTATTTCTGATTTTCATATTTGATTTCAGAAAATGATTAATTTTCTTTATATGGTTTATGCAAGATTCGATATGAAAAATCACATGTTTTAATTCAAGAATGGAAATTGTCAGATTCGATAATCATTGGTTAATTTCTCAAACTCCATTTCGGTAAGTCGAAACCTTATTTCGATTTTGTGAACATGTGAGTTACGTTTTGTGAATATAATATGCATATTTGAATTGGTGTATTCCCCAACAAATTATACTTCTTAATTTGTATTAACTAATTTATTAATATATTAATTTGATTTCAATCTAAATTAACACCCGATTTATGAAAATAAAAGAGTGTATTTGATTGATATGAAAAATATTGTCTAGGAAAGAAAATGTTTTCCTTATTTTAAAGAAAACAAAAATCCATTACAACCAAAGAAAATATTTTCCTTAAAAACAAAGAAAATTAGGCATACATTCAAAAGTTGGAATATATTTTTAATGAAAAAAATATCAATCAGGCACTCCAAAGTAAGAATTTGAGTGAAAATTTGATATTTTTCATGAAAAATAAATACAATCAAATGCACCCTAAGTTCAACGTCTTATTTTTGAAGTGTAATCTTAAAAGGGAAGGATTTGCTTAATTTTCCCATTAAAGGGTCAAACTGACCCAACTGGGCCCTATTTACATGATCAAGCCCGGGTAGGACGTTTTTTCCAAGGGCTCAGCCCCGTCTGGTCCGTAGGCCACATCAAATATAGGGCCGAACCATGGGGTCAGAGTTAGGCTCATCCATAGGGAGGGACATCAGGCCTACACCCTGAATTCGATTTAGCTCATCAAAATCACAACAACGATAAGATTTTGAGGATGTCAACGAGATGGAACAATGCAGGATCAGAGACTAAAATATTGATCCCTGCCCTACGGGGGATTTTTAAGACGTAAGGCAGGGACCTAAAAAGAATAAAAATATCTCGGCGTATCGTCCTGTTTAGTCAATTAATTATTTTTCATTGTTACTATATAATTTTATTTTATTTTTTTGGGAAAAAATCAATTATTCTGGGGGGCTGTTTGTCGTCCTCACCCTGTTTAGCTAATGGGATGGAAAATGAAGCGATACATAAATTTCAGAACAATTTAAATTTGTATTTGAACTTACTCTTCTTCATAGACAAAAGTCAAAGATTGTGAATCCCTGTGATGAGTCTTGTAAACTGTACTGTTCCCGGCTAAATTAACTCTCATCTAAAGAATATGACATATAGAACTGCTTATTCTCTATTTAAGCAGGATTCAGCAGCACAAAATTATCAAATTATACCTTTCGAAAGGATTCATGGCAGCAGAACAATGTCATGTAATGATGTTCCCATGGCTAGCATTCGGACACATGCTACCATTCCTTGAACTCTCCAAAAAATTAGCAGCAAAAAACATCTTAGTATCCTTTGTCTCCACCCCAAAAAACCTACAGAGGTTGCCTCCAATTCCGTCCAGTTTAGTTGGCCGAATAAAGCTGCTCGAGATTGCAATGCCACAGGTTCCTGGTTTGCCTGAAAACTGCGAGGCAACCATTGACCTTCAAGAAGAGCAAGTGCAGTACTTAAAAAAGGCATATGACAAATTAGCCAAACCACTAGAGAAAATCTTGGAAGAAAAAGTACCAGACTTGATAGTAGTTGATTTTGCACCATATTTGATCCCAGAAATTGCTGCGAAATTTGGTGTGCCCACTGCATTTTTTAGTGTATACACAGCTGCGACATTAGCTTATGTGGGGCCACCAGTGGAACTGAAGTCTGGCAGTCGACGAACAAGCCCAGAACATTTTACGAGGCCACCGGAATGGATCCCTTTCCCTTCTCTCGTAGCACACAGGTCTGATTATGCATCAAAAATGATGCGTAACGCGCACGTTCCTGACGCATCAGGCGTGTCCAGTGGCCAACGTATAGCCAAAATTGTGGAAGGATGCAGCTTTGTCATAGTGAGAAGCTGTAAAGAGTTCGAGGGAGAATACATAAATCTCGTTGAAGAACTTTATCAGAAGCCAATTCTGCCAATTGGAGTTCTCCCACCCATATCAGACGGAAACATGAGCCACATGGCAATCGATACAAGCTCGACCAGTACTTTTAAATGGTTGAATGGCCAACAACCCTTATCGGTATTATTTGTGGGATTTGGGAGTGAGTATAAGATGCCTATCGAGCAAATCCATGAATTGGCTTTTGCACTTGAGCTTTCTAAACAACCCTTTTTGTGGATTCTAAGGAAGCCAGAAGGTATAGAAAACTCAGACTTGCTGCCTCCTGGATTTGCCAACCGTACTTTAAACCAGGGTATTGTTACCCTTGGTTGGGTACCCCAATCTGAAATACTCGCTCATCCTGCAATTGGAGCATGTCTCTTCCATTCTGGTTGGGGTACAATAGTGGAAGCTTTATGTTTTGGACACCCATTGATTCTTCTGCCAATGGTAGCCGACCAAGAACTTAATGCCAAGCTGCTGACGGAAAAAGAAATCGGCTATGAAGTCCCAAGGAATGAAGATGGTTCTTTCGATCGGGACATGGTTGCCAAATCAGTCAGAAAAGTTATGTTAGAACCAGAGGGAGAGCCATTAAAGTTGAAGGCCTCACTTACGAGAAATGTTTTCAACAATCAGGACCTCCACGACAGTTACATAAACATGTTCATCCAGCATCTGAAGAAATATAAAGATTCTAACTAAAGGGCACAAGCTAGTATAAGTTGCAAGAATGAAATGTGATGATATATATTCACCATCAATCAGAAAGAAATAAAGAGTAGAATCCAATCCCCAGTGCAATTGTAGGGGTCCTCTAATTTATATGTGTGTATTGTGATCCTTTATAGCTCTAATATCAAGCAAGGTCAAAATTTAAGTACCCCTGTCATAAAGTTACTGTTTATTAGTAACACTAGATAAAAATATTCACACCAAAAGAAAGAATAGCTCTGAAGCACAGACTGCTTAATATCATATCGTGAAAACAAAAACATCAATGAAATTACAGCATGCTTCTCCAAATTTATATCAAATATACAACAAATGAAAACAGGAGATAAAATGCAGGAAAGATAATCTCTGGAGAATAAATGTAACTGCAATTATTTATACAGGAAAAAAATTACCTTGTTCTCTGCTAAATTTCAAGTGAACTTTAGGGCACCGCGTTTTCATACCTGCCACATACCAACGATATTAAAGCTAATGGTTATGGTGACAACACAAGAAGAATCCAAAAAGACTCAACTAGGATATCAATCTCAAAGGAAAGGATATATCTTAGAGCAAAGTTTTTCTGAACCGCATATGTGAACATTTTTATGTGCTGACAATCATACATTCACATGTAGAGATGATACAAGTTTAAAAAAGTAATAATGGCCAATGCAAGGAATAACAAGTTAGCCACCTGAATCTAATGGAAATCCTTTGCTAAGCAAGGCTTCACTGTACAATACAAACTTGTTTGGTCATGTAAGAACTTCCATACATTTAGAGGGAGAATACAGGACATGGCATTTATATGATCACAAATTTTTACAATTCTATAATATACAATCTTTTCTGGGATACAAAACACAGACATTGGAGAGAATATCCTATTCCAAGAAATGTAATGCAATTGAATAGAAATCTCGGAACTAATTCAACATTAGCACAGAAAAACATAGAATTTCTGCTGCTTTAGACTTCATATCCTGGGTTTACTTTCTGTTGAACATCCCCATAACTCTCTAATTCTTCAATATCATCTGGACTCCCCAGAAACAGAGGAAGTCTTTGATGTAGCTTAACTGGCTGGAGAGACAATATTCTACTTTTACCATCAGAACCTCTTCCCCCTGCTTGCTCTGCTAGGAAACTGAGTGGATTTGCTTCATAGACAAGACGAAGATGGTCCCTAGGATTCATTGCAATTCCTCCGTATAGGAGAGTACGATGGAAATCAGCAACAAGGGAACATATATATCGCGCTGAATATTTCTTAGGGTGTAAGCCCTTGCCTTGTCTTATAGTATCAATATACTGCCTCAAACCTTCAGGCCAGTCGAAATACCGTGCATCATTGACAGAATAGATTTGTCCTGGCATAAAATGGGTTCAACACTGATTTTAGTCAAATCAATTAGCAGTTTACTTCTATGATTGGATTGACCGAACGTTGCACATGTTTCAAAATGTTAGAAGTTAAGCGTAATATCTCTTACCTCGTGGTGGAATTTTAATGTTTGGGTGTGTGAGAACAAAATCTCCCGTTGAATGGTCCAGGGTAAAAGCATGCGTTCCAGACCCAAAACTGGTGCATAGTATAGTAGCTGATGAATAAAGGACATAGGCAGAAGCAACAAGCTTATTCCCACTCTGGAGGGAATTAAGGGCTGCCTTCTCCTCCACTGGCAGGTGATCTAGTTCCACAAGCCGGTTATAAATACCAAAGATTGTTCCAGTAGGAATAGAGGCTTCAATATTTCGGGAACCATCTAGAGGATCTAAAACCACCACAAAAGGGCCATCATCTGCAAGCCAAACTGGAGCATCATCTTCTTCAGAGGCCATCACAGCAACTTTTCCAGAATTTTTCAGAGAAGATAATATGATATCATTCTGCTTCATGAAAAAGTAAAAAAAAAGGATTAAAGACCTAAAATTTATCATAACAATACTGATGAATTTGCCTAACTATTATAGACACGGGTCAGCAAGAAGGTGGAATAATATTGTGAATCATGCCGTGACACGAAAACTGATCTTTGTCAGCATTTTAAACAAGAAAGTTCCCAAATGAAGGTTATAGCGTTTAAGTTTAAATGAAAAAACCTTTTATTCTCATATCCTTTCAGTAGAGATTGATGAAATCTAAAACTTCTTGAATTCAATGCATAACGACCTCTACCTCCAGACCCTTTTCCTTTCTTTTGATTTTTGTTCGAGAACTCCCTACTCCCCAATATATCCAGGCCGTGATGAAGCAATGTGACAGAACTACAGGCACTCGGCATCCTAGCATATTATCAAACCATATTCATACACACACTTAATTTCCCTTGATTAAAATAACCAACTAAAAACTCTGCACAGCCAGATTTATAATCAATATAAGAACATCAACCTCAGTACAAAAATGCAAAGAATCCCAGAAATTAAGAACAACAAAGTTACATAGTTCAAGAATTGAACAATCGAGAAAGCAAGAATTAAGCGCACCGCAACAATGTCAAGAGGCTTCGGTTTATCTCTTTCAGCGCTGCCAACTGAAACATTGAAACTTTTCCCAATACTGTAGTTTAAAGGTGAAGCCACAAGAGCAGAAATCCTCTTGCAAGCACACTCCAAATGAATGAACAACACCGCCAATTCATCACTCACATTTACCCCATTTTTCCCCATGTACTCCATCAGTGTACAAATCCCACTACCACTATCATCGCCAGAAGCATCAACATTATCATTAGCCTTGATTCTCAAGTTGAACCCTCCAAGAAAAGATGAAGGGGAAGTCATTCTGTATGTGGGTGGATCCCGAAGATTAAATCTTGGCTGGGAATTCTGAAGTTTTCGCTGAAAAGGGTTGGTTCTTGAAGGGTAATTCAAGATGGGGTTTAAGGTTTCAATGGCTGAGCACATTTCTGGCAAGTGGTTGGGAGTGGATGAGTCTGAGGGGAATCGTCTGAGATTTTTTTATTATGCCCTCTAAAGCTCGCTTGATTGTAAAAATAGAATTTGAGGGGAAAGAAAACAAATATCAAGAAATTAAATTGCTTGAAATTGTCAATTATTATCTTTTAATTGATATAATTTTTCACGTAAAAAATATTAAAATAAAAGTATTTTTTGATGTTCGTTTGACTTTATTTTACATAAAAATTGTTAATTAAAGAGATATAATTTACTAATATTGGAGATAGAGTTTGTTTCCATTGCAAAAAAAAATAAAATAAAGAAAATCATCTATCCTTTAGCATTCATTTATTTTTGTTTTACATAAAAATTATCAATTAAAGAAAAATATATTTTTACAATTAGTGATAGAATTTATTTCCACTGTAAAAAATAATAATAATAATAATAATAAAAGCCAACAGTAGCCTAGAAGAGGGAATTGATTTTCTAGGAAAAGGGGAAAATGTCTAGGTGGCAAGAAAAGTGGGAAAGCCAATTATTGGGAAAAAAAAATGTTATCAAACAGCTAAAAAGTGAAAGTTGGTATTTTAATTCCATTTTTAATGAAAAGTAATGTGCTATCCAACATGGGCTAAATTGAAAATTCTTTCCAGGAAATGCAACGGTGTAGGTATGACTTTAACAAAAATAATGTTATTTGTACATCATATAATTACATAATGGTTCACAACTTCACATTAGATTTTAGAAACGGAGTGGAATTTCTTTTTTTTTTTTTTTTTTTTAAGAAATTCAAACTCAATCATATTTTATCACATCATGAATATGTAAATTATGATAAATGTTAAAACTTCGGGTCGTGGGTCGTGGGTCGTGCTAACCCGATCCGCAAGACAATAAAAAGGATTGAAGGGAGTGGTTTGGACTCAAATTTTAAATCTACAACTTCCTATAATCTTCTTTAACTCCCATATAACCTTTAAGAAAATATGGTGAAATTCGCATAAAAAAATGTCATCAAAATTGAAAGGCAGCTAAAACCACTATTTTTGCATAAAATCTTACAAAAATTGACAATTAGATTGTGGCTAATAACCCACTTCCATTATGATCGAGATTGCAAGAGAATTGCAGCTTTGGAGTTTTGGAAAGTAAGACAATTCAACTATTCAAAAAAATTTGGAATTCATCATTTCAAATAAGTATCTTGACCTAAAATTTATAATTATGCATGCTGCGAATTATTATAATGTACATATTGAACAATCATTTTAACTACGAGTTCTTGACGTGATACCCTTAATGTTTCCGTATTTTGTGGAATACTTTTATTCATTATTTTATAAGGCTTTATGTAGAAAAAATATGAAAATGTTGTATTCTGCAATGTTTGGTAAATTTAAATTTAAGGAATTTTGAATCAAAATGAAAGGTTAATGAGTATTTCATAATCAGGCAAACATTAAGATATATTGTGTCAATTTATTTAACTAAAAAATTGTATAAACATATTCACGGTTTGTGAAAAACTAAAGGGTAAATTTCAATCTTAGTCCCCACGAAATTAAACATTGATCTCTCCAAGGAATTGATAAATCCAAGTCACTTAAAGCCATTTTTACTACTTGAATTAGACCTTGATCACTCCACATAACTAATCTAAGTACATGAAAGTAATGGAATTAATAAAAATAAAATACTAAATAAACTAGGTTGCCTAATTGTATCAGTAGATAACCACGCAAGTTAGGAGAAAATTCAACCCCACTGATGTGATGCCGCCCGTGTCTCAAGAATCTCTCTCAATTATAGGGGTTTTAAAAGATAAGTTCAAGAAAATAATGACAATTTTTCAGTCAAACTTTAGTTGCACTAAGGGACAACATGGTATATATTTTATGTTTAGTGACTCAAGTCCAGGAAAGATCGAAGGTTTAATATTTGAAATATATGTTGTTGCTGCGTGATATCTTTGGTACGTCAGATCGAGATTTTTCTCAAAAAAGTCGTCTCAATTATGATGCAACTTTTTTCACGAGGAAGTCATAACAGCAAAAAGCAGTCATAATTCGACTATGATCGGTTTCAATTATTAATTAGCATATCTAGTCTATGTATAGTCGGATGCCTTGAGTTTCAAATTGATATATATCTGAGAATTCTTCAAGGGGAGAGAAATAAGAATAAGATGGGACTAGAAACAGTTGACATATTGAAAGCTGAAATTCCCCTGGACGAGGAATCAGTGGTTATACCTGAAGATGCTAAGGCTGGTTTAGTTCTTGTGGACATCATCAATGGCTTCTGCACTGTTGGAGCTGGCAATCTGGTAATTGTTCTACTTTCTTTCTTTCATCTTTTTTGCTTTTTTGACTTTGATCCTTCGAGATTCTTTAGATTTCATCCACTTGTTGGAGTCCATGTCCTGATGATCTTGGGACTTATAGAAAGGATTAGTCCACTTCATCTAACAGATTGTTAGAATATCAAAGACTTCATTCATTACAATCAAAATTTGCTAGTAAAACTTCGCTCGCTTATGGTTATGTTCAGGCCCCGACGGAACCAAACAGGCAGATCGGTGAGATGATTCAGGAATCAGCAAAACTGGCTGAATTATTCTGCGACAACGAATGGCCCGTGCTTGCCTTCCTTGACTCGCACCACCCTGGGAAACTGGAGCACCCTTATCCTCCGCACTGTATAACTGGAACTGATGAATCAAATTTGGTTCCAGGTACTTGACTCCTATTTCTTAGTGCATAATTTATCAACAGTCTATGCTCAAGCATAGAATTTCCCATTCTTGTGAGGTGAATTCATGAATATAAATGTAATCAGAGAGTAAAGCCTTACATTTTTTCCATTCCTATAAATCTGCAGCTCTAAGGTGGATAGAGACAAAACCAAACGTGACAATCAGGCGTAAAGATTGCTATGATGGCTTCATTGGTTCAATTCAGGAAGATGGTTCTAATACTTTTGTCGACTGGGTGAAAAACAACAAGATTCAAGTTGTGAGTAGTACTCTATTTTCTATCATTCTTTGAATAGAAATTAGTGTTATTTATACACCTTATAATGTATAGACACTTTAGTTGAAGAAATTAAGGAGGGTGAATATGCCATGGTACTGACTGGATAAAATTTGTCAAGTTATTGGTGGTAGGGATCTGCACAGACATCTGTGTGCTGGATTTTGTATGCTCCACATTATCGGCTAAGAACCGGGGTTTCCTGGAGCCTCTGGAGGATGTGGTAGTGTATTCTTCAGGATGCGCCACTTTTGATTTTCCAGTTTCACTGGCAAGAAACACCAAAGACCATTTGCCTCATCCCCAGGTTTAAAACTACACAGAGCTCTCATTTTCCTAGTATTTAACTTTAGCAGAACCAAACAAAGTGATGGAAAAGAAGCCTTTTATTAAATTTATTTGAGAAAGACACTGTGATGCAGGAGGATTGAACACTCTTGTATCTACCATTAAGTTCCGAGTAATTCATGTTTATGGCAGGAATTGATGCATCATGTGGGACTTTACATGGCCAAGGGAAGAGGTGCAAAGATTGCAAGAGAAGTGTTCTTCAATGCATCCAAGAAGCTGTGAAGTGTAATCACCTGCATTTATAGCAGGTCAAACATGTTCTGTACCAGGATTTCCTTCTGCTGGAAAAGCATGTATCATAGGAAAAATAAATGTGCATGAAAAATAAAACGCAATGAACTTTTGCCGTTTGATGGAATGAAATTATGCTCGCTGTCTGCCTTCTCGAAAGAAAATGAAGAGATGAATTGATGAATCCGTCAAGATTGATTGGGTACGGATCCAACTCGTCAAACTCACACTTTACCAGATCCTTAATTTCTAATCTGAAGCTACCGTACACTCCAACTAGAAGATTTTGGATCCAAATCACGCTACCATGCACAATTTTGACGCAGAAATAACTGCAAAAGAACAAGACTAAATCTATCCTTGCAAAGAATATATGCAAACACAAACACACACATGCTATAAAAGATGCCATGGAACAGTAGTGAGGAGAACCTTAATTATCGTGCTCTTTAAAAAACCTTTTTTTCCAGACAACAAGATTATTAGTTTTCATACATGGGAAGCTTGCATTATTTCAGCAGCCAAATTTCTCTCTCATCCTTATAACCTTAAGAATTAGTTCTTATGTAACAACGGATCAGGAATGACTTGGGGTTCGAAATCTGGCTTCAGAAAACGAGCAAGCAAATCCAAATACGTTTCATATCGAGCAGTCATTCGGAATCCCCACTTGTCCTTCAGTTGCCTGCAGAGGTTAAGATCCATGTCTGATATCATCAAGCCATCCCTCTGACGAGCTAGAGATGGTGTGCAGGAAGAATCTGGCGCTGAAATATGACTTGAACCATAGAAATGCCCAAAATCAGAATGTTCTGGCTTTCCATCACCTGAAGTGAAAGGATTCGGGAAGATCTCTGTCCCAACACGGTTAATGGAACACACAAAATAACTGTTTGCTATCGCTGCATTACGAGCCTGAAAAACCATCAATGTAAAGCATTTTTAAAATGTTGATTCTTATTGTTGCAAAATTAAGCAACAGAATGCAAATGTAAGAATGGCTAATGCACAAGGCAATCTTCTCGTTAGTGTTTTAGCAGTTCATTTTAAAGTCGCCAAAACATCATTACTAGTTGCAGGCTCATTTTCATGTAAGAACTAGCCTGCTCTACATTTAAACTATCATGGAAAAATTTAATTAAGCTGTACGTTTAACAAAAGGAGAAACAATAAATTGATACCTCAATGGGCCACATTGGTTCACTGAGTTCACCAACAGTTGCGGATGGGTTGAAAACAATCTCAGCGCCGTTTAAACCAAAAGCTAACCAATTGAGAGGATGATGTCTTCCATAACATATATTAACTGCAATCTTTCCATATGCTGTTTCAAATACAGGGTGGCCGGTGTTCCCCTCCATATAGTAGGTACTCTCGTTGAAGTCTCCAACTCTAGGTATATGATTCTGCAAGTCGATTATTTCAGCAGAGAGAATATTGAGGTGCAAAGAGTGGTAAAACAAAGTTTGATGTCAACATCACCTTCCTGTGCTTCCCTATTATGTTGCCATGATTTCCAATTATTACAGCTGTATTCCAGATAGTCTCCCCATGTTTCACGTCCCTCTCGAGGATGGGACTTATTATGACCATGTTGTATTTCCTGGCAAAGTCCTGAAGAAACTGTGTTGATTCCCCGTCAATTGACTCTGCAAATTCACACCATTTCTTCTCCCTAGTACAAAATGCAAATGGCATCGTCCATGCCTCCTGCAAAATTTGAGAGAAACAGTATCGCTTAATATCACGAACAAATTTTAATTATCCAACAATACAATTCCCACTTATTTGAAAATTCCTAACAAAATGGAGATGCCACCATGACTATTAAGGGGAGAGTTCTAACTAGATAACTCATAATAATGAAAATCAATCAAATATTTACTTTCTGAATTTATACCTAAAATGAGTGCGTATTTACAGGATGTAACTGACAACATCATGAAGGCAATTCCTTCATGGAGAAGTTACCTCCAATGTAATCTCCATCAAGAACATACCTGTAAGCATAACACGTTGACTCCTGAAGTACCTGCAGCTTCAATGATGGGGGTCAATTTCTTAAAGATGGCTCTCTTCTGGTCCAAAAGAGGCGTTGTTGTTGGTAGAGCAATAGAATTCTGAATGATACCCACTCTAACAATACGAGGCTCTCTCAGTGACTCATGTTCAGCTTGAAATGAAAATGCCTGAATGGACATACAAAAATGAACATTTTGATTATAATATAAATCCACAGGCAGAACAATTCTTTTTATCAATTTGAGAGAGATGCAGATTCTGAAGTATGAATGAACATCATCTCCAACAAATTAAGAAAGTAAACAGTGCCGGTAGTTTGCTTGGACCCATGGGGTAAACGCCTATGAATATGATGATCATGTATCTATTCTAGTCCAAACGTTTATAAAAGTGCACAAAACATGCCCCCATTTGGCCGCCATTGGAGAGAACTTCCATTCTCTCTCTCCCCTATGATGATTAATAAAGACAAAAAAGAAAAACTTCAAAGGTATATCTATTTACCTGAAGATCAAAATCATGTTTTGAAGAAAGAGCTTTAGCAGGCTCGGGAAGAGCAAGACATTGAAGAACCCTCCCACAGTTTAGCCCAAGAAGCAAGCGGCTGACTTCCTACGATCAAGAATTGTATGATTCACGTAATGAAATTCAAATGTCCAAAAATCATCTCGATGTAACACACTATCCGCATAAAACATACGTTCAGATAAAAATAATTGCAACACCGGTAGAACCCATTGAAATCGTCAAAGAACAACTCAATTCTACATCGTTTAATTTGGAAATCTTGAAAGTTCCTTATTAAAACTAAAACAAGGTAAAATGAACAGAACAGTAAGATTAGAAGTTACTTATGTCCGAAACAGTCAGCAAATAACAGGGGATGAATTCGGATTCAATCCAAGTAATCAATATCAATCAAATTAATCTATCTCGCTGAATTAACAGTTAACCTGAAAATTTTGGGGGCCGAGGGAGGCTTGAAGGAGGCTGTGAAGATTGTCGAACCCACAAATGGAACCATCTTTTACCATCTCCTTCTCCGGCTCCGTTTTTCCATCTGCTGTAACAGTTTCATAATCATTTTTATCCATTTTTTTGGTATCTCGCCAAGGAATCGTGAGGAAACGAAGATTACTGATTGATTGACGTGAGTAACGTATGCTGGGGGAGGAAACGTGATTTGAATATTATTGAGCTTACCATTTCTACCTAATCCCAAAAAGATACCGCATTGAATAGATTCCATGGTTGACTTTGCTGGACGGACCTGTCCGTCAGGGGCTCAACTGGGGCCTGGTACCCCTCCTAGCCCCTGTTGTACGCGGCACTGTCAAAACAAAATTATCCTTCCGCATAACTAGAGGCGGAGCCCCATTAAGTCCCATGCGGGCATCTGAGCTTTGGGCTCTACTAGGCCCAATTTTTTTTTTTTGAAAGCCTAGTTAACAACTCAGATGGAAGCCCAAGTAACCACAGCCCATAATCCATTAACCCGTTTACGTTTACCGACCCAGTCACCCAGACCCATCATTCTTAACCCGTTTGAAATCAAAATCAACCAAAACCCTTAATCGAGTCTCTCTCTCCATCTCTCGACAGACTCGACTCTCGCCTGCTTCTCTCGAACTCGAAGCTCCGCCTGTCTCCGCCCCTGCACCGGTGCCCGGCATCTCCTAGATTAGGGGCTTTAATCTCCTTCCCTCAGTTCCCTGTAAGTGTATCAACTGAATTGGATTAGGCCGAAATTGAAGTGCATCTCCTAGATTAGGCAGCAACTGAACTGCCGTCTGCCAGTGCCATCGCCTCCCGCCAGGCGCCACCGCACGGTCCGCACCAGCTGCTGCCTCTAAAGAGGGTAATTAATTTAGATGTTCTTCCAAATTCCAACCGAACTGCCGTTTGCCGGTGCGAGTCTGCGAGATACAAAGATTGATTTTAATTTATGGCTGCTGCTACCTAATTTTCATTTTATCGATTTTGCCTGCTGTTGGAAACTTGGGATTGAGGAAATAATTTTGCAACTTGTCTAATTAATATTTTGTTTTCTTTCCTTGCTGCAGCCTGCATATGTATCTTCTATTTGTTGCAGATTCTCATTCAGTCATTCTCACTCTGTCACACAAGAAAAACTTGGTATGTGAATTTATATTGTGAAATTGGATTGATAGTGTGAAATTGTGAATTAGATTGTGAAATGGTATAAATTGCATTGTAAATTTGCGATTTGGAATGTGAATTGATATTGTGAAATTGGATTGATAGTGTAAAATTGTGAATTAGATTATGAAATGGTATAAATTGCATTGTGAATTTGTGATTTGGAAGGTGAATTGATATTGTAAAATTGGATTGATAATGTGAAATGTGGATTGCACTTGTGAATGGAAATTGTGAAATTGTGAATTTATGATCCTTTTGTTATTATGAATTATTCTCACTCACTTCAAGTAATAATTGGATATCAAATGTTTAAATCCAGATATCAAATGAATAGATACTTTCAACGAAAAAGGAACGTAGATAGTGTTGATGAGAGGGTCTCGAATAATGTGGATGTTGATGAGGGGGTATCGAATAATGTGGAGTTTGATGTCACAAAACTTCCAACTGATCTTGGTCTAAGGATACCCATTTTGGATTACAATGCTAACATCCGAGATGAAGTTCGAAGAGCATATATGTTAAAGGGTCATTGTCAGCCCTAAGATCATGACTTTCCAAAATGATAATTTGGAGTAACAATTAAACGATTCAATCTTTCGTGGTTTAAAGAGTTCGGTAGTTGGTTGGAGTACAGTGTAGAGAAGGATGTTGCTTATTGTTTGTATTGTTATCTTTTCAGAACAAATTCTGGAAAGCAAGGTGGAGGTGAGTCTTTTGTTGGCGAAGGTTTTACATATTGGAAGGATAAAAAAAAAGGCTTCATACTCGTCTTGGACTTCATGATAGTGCACATAATCAAGCTCGCATTAAATGTGAAGTGTTGATGAATTAAGAGCAACACATTCAATCACTTTTCTACAAACAGTCAGAACAAGCAAGAAATGCATATGTTACACGCCTTAGTGCATCCATTGATTATGTTCGAGTTCTTTGCGACAAGGGCACTCATTTCGAGGTCATGATGAATCTGAGGATTCTCTCAATCCAAGTAACTTCTTAGTGCAATTGCAATTTTTGGCTGCACATAATGAAGTTATCAATGCCGTCACATTGGGAAATGCTCCTCACAATTGCAAATTCACATCACCTGATGTTCAAAAGGATATAGCAAATGCTTGTGCTATTAAAACGATCAATATTATTATCAAATATGTTGGCGGCTTACTATTTTATATTCTAGTTGATGAATCTTGTGATGTGTCAATGAAGGAGCAAATGTCTATTGTTTTACGTTATGTAGACAATAGTGGGCATATCAATGGATGCTTCATAGGGATTGAACATTTTACAAGTACCATGGCTCTATCACTTAAAGCTGCAATTGATAAGGTATTTTCTAGATATAACTTGAGTATGTCTAGATTGAAAGGACAAGGTTATGATGAAGCAAGTAATATGCAAGGTAAGTTTAATGGTCTGAAAACGCTCATTTTGAATGAGAGTCCATGTGCCTTTTACATTCACTGTTTTGCTCATCAACTCCAACTTGCGTTTGTGGCTATGGCAAAGAAGAACATCCCTATTACTAACTTCTTTCGTGTGGTTGGGAACGTGATAAATATTGTTGGAACATCTTCCAAACGTTGTGATCTTCTTCGATAAAAACAATTAGACTTTATTATTGAGGCATTGGAAAAAGGTGAGATTTTAAGTGGACGGATACTTAATCAAGAAACGACCCTTCAGCGCTCTGGTGATACACGATGGAGTTCACATTATAATTCTTTGGTCAGCTTGCTTGCCATGTTCTCTTCTGTTTTAGATGTACTTGCAATGATTGTTGAAGATGAATCTTGTTCTTGTGATCAAAGATCTGATGCAACAAATTTATTGGAGTTGATACAAAGATTTGATTTTGCATTTAATCTACAATTGATGAGAAGTGTGTTGGGGATGTCAAATGAACTATCAAAGGCATTGCAAAGAAAAGATCAAGATATTGTGAATGCAATGCAATTGGTGAGATTGTGCAAACGACGACTCCAAATAATGAGAGACGAAGGGTGGGACTCCTTTTTGGAAGAAGTATGTTTTTTTGTCAACAACATTACATTCATGTATCCAACATGGATGATATGTTTGTACGCCTTACAATTCGTGGTCGCCCTCAGCGTAATTCTCCAGAAATTACAAATTTACATCATTATCGAGTAGATTTGTTCTACTCTGTCATCGATTTACAACTTCAAGAATTGAATGATCGTTTCTCGAAGGTAAATACAGAGTTACTCCTTTGTGTAGCTTGTTTATGCCCACAAGATTCATTTTCTTCTTTTGACAAGAAAAGTTTGATTAGACTTGCTGAGCTTTATCCATTAGATTTCTCTGCAGTGGATGACATTGTACTTAGCGATCAACTTGAGACTTATATTTTGGATATGAGCTCTAACAAAGATTTTGAAGGGTTGAATGGCCTTGGTGATCTTGCGGAGAAGTTAGTT